ATGATTTTGGCCCCCCGATGGCCTACTTCCAAGCTTAATTGTTAGAAAAGTGTGTTTTCCGACGTAGTTTTCAAATCGGGAGTCCCCGTGCCTGTTCGTCATGTTTTCACGGCTTAAATTGGTCCCTCATGAGATGTTCAGGGTGTTCCTTCTTCATACCTTTTCTATTCAAATTGAATAGGTGCCAACAAAGCCTATATAAAGGCAGCCCCATTCCAATTTTGTGGGATTCCAAAATTTCATTTTCCTTGCCTTCATTTTGCTCTCTTGCGTCCTTTATTCTTCATATTATTTTAGGAAAAATTTCAGAGAGTTATAGAACACAAGGTTCTGGTTCGTCGAACAAATTTATTTGAAGTGCTACTACAAATTTGTGAAGATCATTGTATCCTGGGAGATAGACGCCACGTAACAGTAAGCACCGTAGCGGGGCGAATCTGTCTTAAGGACAGAGTGTCACACACTCGACTTGGTCTTTAAATTATTGATTCGGTTCAACAAAATAAATTATGTAAGTTTTATTTTATTTTGTTTGAATTATTTTAAGTTATTTTATTTACACAGAAGATTGTTCCAACAGATATCACGTTTATCACTATTACACTGTTCTCAAAATCACACGAGAAGAAAAATGCAGAAAGTAGCAAATGTAATTATAATATTGATAATATTATATGTACTAATTAGTGTATCAATATATCTTATGACATTATAATTAATCTCATTCATTACATAAATTATAAATACTCAAAGTTTTTAAAATTATGTCACATCATTTGTTAATACACTAATTAGTATGTCAATTGATGCATATAGTATTATTCTTATAATATAGGTGTCTCCAATTCTTACTGGACTAAATTGTGTTGTTTGGCTTTCGTGAGCTCACCAGGAAGCCCCAATTGAATATCCAAATCATTCAATGTGTAGAATTTGTTGAGTACTTTATTCTTGAAAAAAATTATTTTAATCGAATATCGATAATCACTAGATCAATTCACATTTCTGATTTTAAAAAAAAAATTGACAGAAATATGAACTGATCAAGTGACTATCGATATCTAATCAATATAATTTTTTACAAAAATAAAATACTCAGCAAATTTTACACACTAAACAATTTGGATTATCATTTAAACCCCAAATAAGCTCTAAATAGATTGAACTGGACCATCCAATAGGCTACCAACTGAAGATAATCTGGTCCCATTATAATATAAAGTAATATTAGGAATATCAAATTTTCTATTAAATAAATGACCAAATAGATATGGAGTTTGTAATTTTATAAATCTCACATTGATGTGAGACATTTGATAATTTATTTGGTAGAAAATGTGTGATCTATAACATTTTCCAATAATGGAATATTTATTTGGACTTTTTTGAGCCAATTTATGGACTCTAACTTTGGAAAAACTATTTTGGACTGTTTAGTTAAATTTATATTAAATAATTTCTAATTCTAACAATTTATTTAATTCAAAAAAGTTGATTCTTATCAATTTCTACTGTGAATATGTTAATTTATGGTTATACTCTTAGATTTTTTTTTATTTTTTTAAAAATAGAAAAAAAAATCCAAATGAATTATAGATTATTATTATTATTATTTATGAAAAATACAGACAATTAATGAATAATAAAAAATAAAAATTAATTGAAAAAACTACCTCACAAATTATTTAACAAATATTACTTAGCAATTTAAATTTATAATTCAACAATTGTACCAAATAAATTACTCCCAAAATATTAGTCCTTTATTCTATTTTTCATTATCCCAAAATATTAGTTCTTCTTCAAAAATCAAGTACAAAAATAATATAAATTTCCTATTTTGCCCTTCTTTTAAATTAATAAACAATATAAAAAATACAATTATGATATTGATATTCCCAAAAAATGTACTATCCAAAAGGTAATTTTAAAAAATCAACTTTTTTTAAATGTAATAATTGTACTATCAAAACTAGTTAAATTCCCTAAAAAGGATCATTATTTTGGAACAGTGGGAGTAATAACTTTTAATTAAACTCATTATTTATAATATGGTAAGTTATAAATAATAATCTATTTTAGGCGTTGTTGGTCATCTCTTAAAAAAATCAAAAAATTAAAAAGTCACTATCCTATTTAAGTTACATCATCTTATTTAAATCACATCACTTCTCTATCACATCACTTCAAACCCAACTCATGCACAATTTAAATTTCATAAAAAGTCAAAAAAATAATATTTAATTAAAACATTTCAAACATCCCTTAATAGTACAGTACAATGGATGAGTGGGTCCCCATTCCACCACCACGCATCCCCGGTGAATAATTGCTCCCTGGAGTCTTCTGACTGTCCTGGTCGCCATTTATTTGCAGACACCGAGATTCAATCGGCTCTCTTTGCACACTATTCTATTCCACTTTTCTTTGTAAAAATTCCTCATATTCAAACCTCACCATCAATATTATTGATTTGATATATCGCAGTGTTAATCTACAACAATGGTGGCTCTGTTCGCCTCCGCCACCGCACAAACAACCTTCCACCACCACCAGCAGCCATATCTATCATGTAGTTCTTCAGCTTCAACAGTGTGTGTATGGAGCTCGTCCGCGAAGCTTCACCACTCCGCTGGATTATCCTCAAACCATTCCAATTTTCTGAGCCCCTCCTCCTCCTCCTTCGCCAATCTCAAATCCCATGAAATTGTTCATCTTAGGACCAATCGGAGCAAGCCCTTCCTCGTTCGGATGTCCTGGGATGGTCCGCTCTCTTCTGTCAAATTGATCCTCCAAGGCAAAAACCTCGAGGTACCTTCCTTCTTTATTAAACCCTAACTAACTAACTAACTACTCCGTTCCGTTTGCTTCCCCAGAAAAAAATAATCCGGAAAATGAATCAATTGAATTTTTTCCATCCCCTTTCTATATCTCTTGTAAAAAATTCCTTGCCAGCGATTTTATTTTGTTTTGTTTGTATAGAGTGAATGTGACAATCAAGATGTTTTGCATTTACAGTTAAGTGATACAGTCAAGAAGCATGTGGAAGAGAAGGTGGGGAAAGCTATTCAAAAGCACAGCCATTTAGTGAGGGAAGTTGACGTTAGGTTTTCAGTTCGAGGCGGGGAGTTAGGAAAAGGCCCAAAGAACAGGAGATGTGAGGTGAGTTGGAGAAGCCTAAAATCTTAATTCTTGTCAATGTGTCATTCATTCTGCTTGTGTAATTTGTATGATTTTTTTCTGGTTTTTTTTTTTTTAGGTGACTTTGTTTACTAAAAAACATGGAGTGGTTCGGGCTGAAGAAGATTCAGATACTCTCTATGGGAGTATAGACTTGGTATCATCAATTATACAGAGGAAGTTGAGGAAGATTAAGGAGAAGGAATCAGACCATGGTCGCCACATGAAGGGGTTTGATCGATTGAAGGTGAGGGACCCTGGAACCCTGTTAATGGAGAATGATTCAGAGTCTGAAGAAGAAGAAGAAGAAGAAGAAGAAGTAGACTTCACCAATGAGGTTTGTCTCTTTACTTTTTATTGTCTTCTCTATTTTTTCATATGCTTCCTTGTGTTGAACTAATTAATCAAGTCCACTGTCATGTTTCTACATCATTGGAAATTGTTATTTTCATCGTCACCGAACAAGTTTCATTTCATTTCTTGTAAAACACAATGAACATTCTTACATACAACTGTATAGGTCAGGCTCCATGTCCCCGGTAAAAATGAGTAACTTCACTTCCCAGTATGCGATAGCATTCTCTTTAAAATTTTATTTTTTAACATTAGTCTCTTGTTCTTCTGTAATCCATGTGAAATTACTCCTGGCATGGTCCCAATGCTGTTGCACCCTCTTACACGCTAAACAGGTTAACAAGAGTCGTAGAAGGAGATTAACAAAATCATTTGGTATGCAATGTCAAATGGTGAAACAAGTGACTTGTGGTCATGAATTCATTAGCAAACTACTAGTAATATCTATAACTTCTTGATCTCTGTGGCATTATTTCATTGATAAATTCTCGACTATCTGCCTCTGGTTATATGATATTCTGTGAGACACTAAACTCTTGGCTACACATTCCATGTTGATAGTAGACTATCAGTACCCATACTTAGCATCGGTTTCTTTTTGCTTAAAGTTTGGAGGGCAACATAGAGTACATCATGTCATTGACTGTTGGTGTTTTCGTAGATAATAATATGCAGATGGTTCTAGCATAAATTAATTTAATCATTTTTGGAGTAAGATAACATAAATTAATTAGACCACCGGTTATAGAAATTTAATTTTTCCGCACTATATGAATATGGCATGAACTCTTCGCTTCTCAGCACCAATGCAATGCGGTCATGCCAATGCTAAATAATGGTTTCAAATTTTAGGAACCCTCAGTTACCTACCGTTCTTGGTTTGCTGTAGCATACCTCAACATTGTATTTTCTCTAGCACATGCTGACTATAGCAAACCATCTTTCAGATTGTTCGTACGAAATACTTTGACATGCCGCCTTTGACTGTCGCTGAAGCTATTGAGCAGCTGGAAAATGTTGATCATGACTTCTATGGTTTTCGAAATGAAGAAACTGGTACAATATGGCATTTCTATCATTATTTATTTGGCTTTATTAGTTTATACAATATATAATCTGATTCTAATATTCCTCTATACCTTGGCTCCAGGTGAGATAAATATCGTATACAAAAGAAAAGCTGGAGGCTATGGGCTTATTGTTCCTAAAGGGAATGACAAAGCTGGGAAATTAGAGTCCATGGTGGTTGAACTGGATAGAGAACCCTCCCTCGCAGAATAGATGGTCCTCGCGAAGAAAAGTCATTTTGTAAGATATTAGTATGAAGCGTTTAAACATGTTTTTATGGATTGTAATTTTTTGCAAAGAAAAAAGATATTAGTATGAAGTGTTTAAGATGTTTTTATGGATTGTAATTCTTGGTAAGATGAGATGCTCCATCAGGCGCATAAACACTTAGAACTAGCAAAGAGTTCTGTTATCTCTATGAAATAGTTAAAATACGTGTATACCAGTTGACCATTCAAGTTTTTGCCTTCGTTATTCTTCATGTATTTCTTTCTACCTCTAGCTATGGCTAAATTTTAACCACCTGTGGTTCTTGCTTGTGCTTGATCATTGCTAAACTTGTTACAAGTTTCATTTTCTTTTCTTTTCCTTTTTCTTTTGGGTTTCCTTCAAATATATCTACAAAGGCAGATACAGAAATCTTAATAAGAGGGGGCCAAATTCTATATAATTATAAATTCACTAAAAAAATTATTTTAACATATTTTTACAAAAGTTTTGTACTTGTGGTGGACTAAAATATTTATTTTTTATAAGCATAAAATATAAATATTATAATCAAATTTGCAAATAAAATTTTCAATAGAAATTTATAAAAGAAAAGCATGAAAACAGAAATATAAAGTATTTCTACACATTGTACAAAATAATAATAACATATAAGTATTTTTTTTTGCATTAATCATAGTCACATTAGGTGTACATGACACCAATTAAAGTCATAATCAAAAGCCAATCAAAGCCAACACAACGAGATATAATAAACACTACTTTAACACATAATCAGACATCATTGTAGGATTTAACTAGTTTTGATTTAATAATTTTTTAACGGAGAAATAACAACGCAGGATAGAAGATCAAAAAGAATCTGTAAAACATGAAGGATGCAACTTATTTTGTGGTGGAATGCAACTCAAAAGATGTGGAGATGCAACTCCATGTCCGTGTAATTTTTTTTTATCTGTTTCACTGATATGTAATTCTTTTTTTTTAATCCTAACAACATAATTGATCATAACCAAACATTATAACGATTCCTAACTAATATCAATTGACACGGTAACTAACCTGAATTGACACTGTAACTAACGTGTGGTGTAGCATGATCCTAACTTAAAACTTCCAACAAATTGGAACTTTAGAGGAGTTAGGACTTTGGGGACCAACTTTTTATAAATTATAGATCCAAGAACTAATATAGCATATTAAGAGGATATATATCTAGCCTATTTCTTTCTTTGTTTTTGAGAAAAATTATAATACAATTACATTAAAATAAAAATAAATAACATACAGAACAAAAAAGGAAAAACAACAAAGCCTCAAAGGGCCAAAACCAAAAACCTAACAAGGACTACAAAATCGCCAAAAAATCAACTATTGTTCTAAGAAAACCACCAATCTCCTCACAAATGTAATTTGGAAAAATAAGATCTACATCAAAATAAAACCCAAACCCGTCGTTGTCGTTGCCCTCGTTGCTAAACTTCAGTCACCGTCAAAAGCAGAGTTGAAGAAGAACACTCATATCGAAGAAGGAGGAGGATTGAGAGAACAATGGATCATTAAGGGTGTCAAAAATCCAAAAATCTATGTCAAAAATCGGAGAAGCTCTCAAGCCTCTCTTCCTAGGCATAAAAAAAACACAGATTTACACTTTAAAGTGCATTTAAAATTCGCTGGAAATTACCTAGAAAGAGAGGCTTTCCAACACCCCTCTCTACTGGGCCTTATTATCTAGCCTATTTCTAATAGAATGGGAATTCTAGCCTATACCTAAGAAGATGGGGAGGGGAGTCACTAAACGGCGGAAGTGGATGAACCATATAAAGATGGGGAGGGGAGCTACAAAACTATGGAAGCAGATGAACCCATAATGGGTGGCACATGGTACAGAGAGAAGCAACTTAAGCAATGCCACTCAAACCTCGCCAAAAGCAAGGTTTGCACCCACAATCTCTCACATGAGAATGTTGGAAAAATGACATTGGGCTACAAGGCCATTGCCAGCATCCTTGGTTACTAGATGCAATGCAGGATTCCGAGATCCCCCAATTCAAGACATAGCTAATGAAACTGTTGAAAAATCAAGGCCGCTGAGGACATGGTGCCTAACAATGATCTCATATTATGATGATGAGAAGATGGTCATGACAAACCAATTGAGATTCTTGTGGGCAAAAAAATTTATATCTCACTAAGAGATAAATGAATCTAGTCTCCTTACGATCAATCATTCAACTCTTTCACAAGCTGCGACTACAGATGCATCGAAAAATAAGGTGTCAAAAAAACAGGATCATGTCCGACAATAATTAGTAGAGACTTCACAAAAAACATAAAAGAAAAACCCGAAAATGCCTCTGAATTAAAAAACATTAATATTGAAAATACAATGTTGCATATGAAAAGAGATTAAAACAACAAAAAAACAATTAAAACTTGTTCCATTGGTCAGGGTGATTCAGAATTATGGCTCAAAACCATCACTTATCTTGCAAAGATAAATAGATTAAAATTTTGAACAAAAAGCCAATAGAAGATTGCCTGTGCAATTGGAGGGAATGCGTTTGAATAGTAGTCTGCAGATGACTGACTGCTTCCTGAATTAGCATAACTATATATCAAGCCTTGTATGGTCTCTGACTTAACTTCAGGCAGCTCTTGGGGATGTTTGCCCCATTTTTCTTACTCGTAGGAACGCTCTTTATAAGGATAACAGATGATCCACACTTTTTTGATTTCCTGGGAAACCTGCAAGACATCCATTGATGGAAAAGGATACCTTCAGTAACAACAACACACTTAAGGAGCAAAAGTGATTATTGGAAATTTAAAAAATGCCAAAAACCAAAAGTTACTCACAAGTCTGCTTGCCTCTTTTTAGGAACCTGTCCTAGAACATTTGACTTCTCCTTTTGATCTTTGTTCATTTTGTCACTCTGCAGGTGTACCTACATGAGATGAAATGAAGCATAATGAAGGTTGTGCACACCAGTGGCAAATACAAAGTCTTCAAGAATCAGGTCCACATACACGTGCAGCTCCTCCGCATTTGCAGCTGTTTACAGTTATTTAACAATTCAACTCTTTCTTATGCGTTTTTCTTTAAAGATACATTACACCAGCAAGCCCTCAGGAATTATCCATGGCACGTAGTGATTATTAGTTTTGAAAGCAAGGTTCTTAACAGATGGGTTAAATCTTTGGAAGAAATTTTATAAATGACAGAATGTGTCCAGCAATCAATGTGACTAGCTATGCCATGCCTTGAATCAGACAGAATACATGCACAAAGTTGAACACTGGTCAATCTATGTCGTATTCAAATGGAAAATTTGATCATTTAAATGGGTTAAAATTTTGTGATAAATGGAAGAAGGCTAATAACTTATCTTTAAATTCATAGAAATGATCAGAAGATACAATACATTTACAGGAAAGCTTGCCCCGTGACAATATCTGGATAAGCTGACAACAGAATCTTATTCTCAACAATTCTATTAATTTAATTTACAGTCAGAGAGAAAATGAATGCGCGTGTGTGTGTGTCACAGTGTGTCAGTGCCAGTCAAACCATATTTTAACGATGGATACATAGATAATCTCAAGCAAAGCATTTTGAAATCTTAAAAAGTAAAAAAGAAAAAGGACCAAACCCAATAGTTACAATTATCCATGGAAACTAGTCAAGAATTACCCTAAAGGCTAAAAGTTGCAAGCAAAGTTCACCCAGACATGATTGTTAAGAGTAGTAGATTAAACTACCCAATGTCAAAATTCATTTAAAAAAGTCAATTCAGCAAAGATTAGATCAATATATCTGATTTATCAACTGAATGCAATTTATGGACTTATAAAGGGAGGCCAAAAGTCTATGCACCTCCATTATATGGGAACCAATAATCTCAGTAATTAAATTTATGAGGGGGACAACCCTAAGAAGAGAGTCAGGGACAGTCAACCATATCCAGTTCCAACAATAGGTGGGAATATCAACCATACAAACTTAAATCCACATCATGATAGCTACTTTATTACATTGGAACTGGACAGCATAGTAAGGAACTGTTCAACACTTAACAATCAGGTCTGCCTATATTTTTGCATACATAATAAGGCAATTAGAGGTCTCTTGTAGGTTCAAAATGGCTTGAAACTCATTATCAAAAATATTTGAAAAAACAATAAGACTCACTCAAGAGAAGTAACCAGTCAAGGGAATGCAGACAGATCAAATAAAGAGCCTTCTAGCCAGTACATGGCAGGTGTGCCTGTATGGTGTATAAAGATCCCAGGATCACTCAATTTCCAGACTCCTCAAACATTAAAGCCACATGGGAAAGAATATTTGTAGAAGGCTAAGAAACTGGATGGACTAGAGGGTACACATCATAGGGATATTGATTAACTTTTACAAAAGAATTAATGAAGTAATCAATAGAAGTGTTATGTGATCGTCTGCATCGAAAGACAACTAGCAAGAAAATTAAATGGCAAAGTAATCAAGCGTTCATAATACTATAAGGGCTCACACAAGACAAACATATCATCACATACTGCAATTCTATAGTAATTTTTTCATAAATCAATACAGCAAAGGCCTTCATCTGTTTAGAAAGATCACATCAAATTGGCGATGTAGGTCTAACAACAAAAGCTGCCCATCACGTTGGATGTTAGATGCTGCCTTTAATCACCAAGTAAAACATCTAGTTTAAAAAATGCCCCAAATAATCTAATTGATTTTTCATCCATAATACTAAGCTAGTAATTCACTTGGCAGATCTAAACTCACACTGCAAGGTAAATCAAACAACGATATTTCTAGTAGGCCAGTAGATACTCTCAACCACGCTTGAGTTGTGTACACATTGAATAACAATCCCATAGCTTCTTCAGTGTTGTAAAGAAGAAACACAAAAATAAAATGACAGGAAAGTTCAGTGAGATAGCTAACATCGCTGAAATTTCTAGTTGTTTATCATCTACAGAATTCTAAGCAAGTACCAAAAGATAAATTAGCAACAATTCCAACCCTTCATATTGAGAGAGAGAGAGAGAGCTCTTTCAATGCTCATTGAAATTACTGATGATTAACATAACTAATCAACATATACCAATCACTGTTGTCATACCAAAAGTAGAACAAGTCCATATACATAAATGTATGACAGAAGAAGAATTATAATTAAGTACACCAAGAAAAAGATCATAATGTATCATCAAAAAGTTTATATTAAATGTAATTATTCCAAAACCCCAACTAAAATACTACGAGAGAAGAAAAGCATGGTAATTAAATGAAGTATGGGTCATTGAATGAACACAGAAAACAATATTTAGAAAGAATGCAATTAGATGCACAAAAAGGAAATTAAGTTGTAAAAATTCATGGCAGATCAAAACAAGAGAACCATACCACTATAACTGCATTGCATTCAACTACCAAGGCTCCAAATTACAATACACTCAACAGGAAATTTTAAAGCCAAGCACTTTAAAATAAAATTACATAAAAAACAATGCAATGCAATGCAATGAACAAAAGCTATTGAATACATCATAAGCTAGCTTGACATTCAATGAACATACTCTACATATAGCAAATCATTATCATTTTCCCAGTAAAACCCATTATAAATTACAAAATAAATTAATAATTTACCTGATTTGATGGCATCATACATTCTTCTCCATTTGCATCCTTGGACGAAGCACGCCGCTTTGGTTTCTTCTCTCCACCATTACTCTCATCTTCCAATAAATTCGCCTTCCTCTTCTTCATCCCAATTGCGGTCGATTTACTCTTCTTCTCGCGAACCCTCCACACATTCTTCCTTCTGAATAACAACTTCTCGCATTTCCACAACGGAACGCTGGTGTCAATCACCGTCACGTCGGTGCGCGAAAACGCCGAAAGATCAGCATGAAACTTGTCATCCTCTCCAAAATCAACATCAACATTCTCAACATTCTCTTCTTTCCTCAACCTCGATGGATGATCATCACTCGTTTGCTTTACCTCCGCACAACTGTTGTCGCCACTAGACCGCAAAGCGTCGTTCTCACTATCGACATTTGACGGTGTCGAAACCAGGCAAATTCTAGGGTTTGGTTGCTTGCGAGAACTCTTTTTGGAGTGAATTCTCGACGAATCGTTCGGATCCCCCATGTTAAAGAGCTCCGCGAGGACATTGCTCATCAAACCGAACCATTCTTTATCTCCATTTTGTCGAGGAGTCTCCGCTGTTTGGTTGCTGCGATCGAGAACCGGTTTTTCGCTCGGATCAACTGAAATCGAGTTCAATTCCGGTTCAGGATTGTGGTAGTTGAGGAATTGCTCGAGATCGAGATCGTTGCCGGCCGGAAAACCTTTGGATAATCGGAGCCGGTCGAGCCACTTCTTCGAACTGGACTTTCCGGTCGAGATTGAACCGAGCATTTTGTGTTGAAATGCAGAGATGGAATAGAGATTGGGAGTGAAATCGAGAAGAAGGAGAATTATCGGGTAGGGTTTTGAGAGGGCGCAGTGGTGATACACTGCCGGAGAATGCTATAGTACGCATTAGGTGCGCAATACGCATGAGAAACTACTGAGAGACAGGCAAAGGCAATTGAAGACGTTCGGTGGAGGACAAAAGTACTGTTCCATTACACACGCCAAAAAACGTGAGGAGAACCCAAGTGAGTTACGCGTTTTCTTTTTTTCTTTTTTTTGAAAAAATTATAAAAATAATTTTTTATTTTCATAATAAATCAAACTTTTTTTTTTTTTTTTTTGTTCATCCTGAACCCTAATGTTCTGAATTGGTTTCATGATTCTTCGATCTTGTGTTAGGTCCATCGATCCCACCTTTGATTTGATGATTGGGTCTTAAGGCCTCGTTTGGCAACCGAATTTTTTAGTTAAAAAATTACTAAATTAGCTAAAAAGCCAACAACCCATACTAAAAAGTTAAAGATTTTCTTTTCTCTCTACTTTTTGCACATCATTTCGTAATAAGCCAAAAAGTCATCCTAAACATACTAGTTTTTTTTAACTCATATTTTAGCCAAATAGTCAAAAAATTACTAAATTAGCCTGTTCCCAAACGAGGTCTAAATTCAACGTTCTCATCTTAATGACTTGTGATGGTGAAAGAGGATAGGTCATAGAGGAAGTTACAGTGTCACAATTAGGAAATAATAAAATGAAGAGAGAAGGTTTTCAGAAAGATATTATTTGGGGAATACAAATTCACTAATTCTTAGTCGTCAATAGTTTGGGCCTCTTTGAGCTCCGTCTATAGACTCAACACCCATAACCCCTTTTTTGAATCTCCCACTGCGCCGACCAAGCGACTAGCCGCTACACTGCCACAAAAAAAGTCAGTGAAGAAATCGCCTACACCTACAACCAAAGATCACCAAATTGTAAATAGAAATACAACAGTATTGGGGACCCCAGCACCCCCACCTCCACGTGGGAGCCTGCGAGACCAAGAAAAAAAAAAGAAAAGAATTTTTGGACCAATCAAAAATAGTGGGGGTGGTGGGGGTCACCCCCACTGGGGTCTTAGTCTTTTTCCATAGAAATATTGTCAAATGTAATATATGTTCAACATGGCTTGAGTTCTGGTGTTCACCTTGTAAAATATATATATTTTTTTGATAAATAATTAAACTTTAATAAATAAATAAATAAATCAAGACGATTCAATGATTACAAAAAATAAGCCCACAAAAGGACTAAATAAAACTAACTAATCAAATTCTCCACAAAATTGACAAAAACCAAAACATTTAGATCGACTGTACCCTTGACCCAACTATGCAACACCATCAACAATCTACTCTCTAACCATGAAACGAAATGGTACTCATCCTGAAACACTAGCCAATTCCGTTCTAACCATACCAACCAAAGCAAACAATGGGAACAAAGCACCCAAATCTTTCGATGCCTCTTCTCCACTCTAGCCCCACCCCAACTCTATAATACTTCCAACACAGAGGCCGGTTGCACCCACACTAAGCCAAACAAAGCAACAATAAAGTTCCAAAATGCAGATGCTATCGGACAATGAAGAAGCAAATGATCCACTGTTTTCGTATCTATACAGCACATGCAACACCAATTGACCAACACATGTCGTCTCTGAATCAAATTATCAATAATGAAAATACAACCCAAAACAGTTGTCCAAATGAAAAAAACAACCTTAGTTGGAGATCCCGTCGCCCAAATACACTTCCAAGGAAACACACCGATAGCATCCCCTGCAGTGCCCCATAAAAGGAAGACACTAAGAAAACACCTTTAGACCTCCGAACATCCCATACTACAGAATCCAACCAACCCCCTACTATAGCCTATACAAAAAGCCCAGAAGATCCATTAATTGATCTAACTCTCAATCTTACGCATCCCGGCGAAGACGATTATTCCAAACAATTGATTGCTCCTGCCCTACCCTCACTGAAGTAACAAACTTTGCCCCATCCTCTGTAATGACATAAATCAATAGGAACATAACAGCCATCGATACCCTATCATACCACCAATCCTGCCAAAAACGAATCTTATCCCCATCCTCACTCTAAATCGAACCCTAACCCAAAAGTCCTCTCTCCCCAACCATATCCTCTTCCACAACCTACAACCATGGGAATGAACCAACCTTTTCGAACACCAACCCTCTCTCCTTCCCATACTAACCACAATCACCCTCCTCTACAACCACTCTCTCTCATTCACAAAACGCCATAACCACTTCCCCAATAGAGCCTGATTAAACACCACCAGTCTTCAAACGCCTAAACCCTCTCTCACAGTCCTTAGGAGTGCAAACTCTTGGCCAACCCACCAAGTGATAATGACAAATACCCATCCTCTGCAATGACATAAATCAATAGGAACATAACAGCCATCGATACCCTATCATACCACCAATCCTGCCAAAAACGAATCTTATCCCCATCCCCACTCTAAATCGAACCCTAACCCAAAAGTCCTCTCTCCCCAACCATATCCCCTTCCACAACCTACAACCATGGGAATGAACCAACCTCTTCGAACACCAACCCCCTCTCCTTTTCATACTAACCACAATCACCCTCCTCTACAACCACTCTCTCTTATTCACAAAACGCCATAACCACTTCCCCAATAGAGCTTGATTAAACACCACCAGTCTTCAAACGCCTAAACCCTCTCTCACAGTCCTTAGGAGTGCAAACTCTTGGCCAACCCACCAAGTGATAATGACAACCCCCCTCCCCTACCACCCCCACCCTCACCCTTATCCCCACAAGAAATCTCCCTGTAACTTTTCCAACCCTTTGGCCGCCACCACAAGAATCACATACGCTGACATGAAATACATCGAAATACTAGAAAGGACACTCTTGATCAAAGTAATCTACCCCATGTTTGATAAGTATTGTTGCTTCCAGCCTGCCAACTGCTGCTGCACCCTGTCCACCACCCCATCCCACACCCTTGACTCCTTAAAAGTGGCCCCCAAAGGAAGTCTCGAATAAGAAACTGGAAACTTGGCCACCTTACAACCCAAAACAGCCGTCAACACTGATAAACAAGCCACCTTTCCATCGGGATCAATTCTGATTTGGCCAAGTTAACCTGAAGCCCAGAAACTGCCTCAAAACAAAGCAATACACATCGCAAATGGCCCACCTGAATAGCATCCGCATCACAAAAAATTAATGCATTATCTGCATAAAAGAGATGAGAGACCAGCAAAGAATCAGACTCCACTCCCACCTCAAAACCCACCAACAAACCCCCATGAACTGCCCTAAGAATCAGCTGGCTCAACGCCTCCATAACCAGAATAAATAGAAATTGAGACAAAGGGTCACCTTGTTGTAAGCCCCATAAAAAAAAAAAAAAAAAAAAACCAGCCGAAGTCCTATTCACCAAGACAGGCATCCGAACAATACAGATACATAAATATATTTATCTTTCCCATTGCTTCTCAAAACCCATCCTCTCTAGCACATATAATAAAAACTGCCAGTTAACATTGTCATAGGTCTTCTCAATATCCAACTTACAAATAATCCCCTCTTTCACTTGCCGAAGCCGCGAATCCACACATTCATTTGCTATAATAACATCCAAAATCTACAGCCCACCCACAAAAGCATTCTAAGACTCTGACACTACCCTCTCCAACACACCTCGAAGTAGATTAGCCAAAACCTTGGCCAATAACTTGTAAGCATTGCCTAATAGACTGATGGGCCAAAAGTACGAATATCCTCTGCACCTCCCTTCTTGTGGATGAAGGCTATAAAGGTAGCATTCAGACTTGTCTCAAACTGTCTCATCTAATGAAACTACACAAGCATAGCCAACACATCCCCCTTCACCACCTCCCAATAATGTTGAAGAAAACCAATAAAGAAACTATCCAGCCCCAGTGCCTTATCTCCAGGCATACTCCTTAGCGCCCCCAACACCTCCTCCTTTGTAAAAGGTCTTTCCAGCAACAAGCTATATGCCTCAATAATAGAATCAAAAACCACTCTATCCAACCTCGGCCTCCAACCCTCACCCTGATCACAAAAAAATACTGGTAAAATCCCACTATACCCTCCCTAATGATAACATCACTCCATTCACCTGTAGCTTCCCTATCTAATTCACATGCCGATGAGCATTCGTCATTTGGTGGAAGAATTTTGTATTTCGATCCACATCTTTCAGCCACAAGCATCTAGATTTCTGCCGAAAACTAATCTCCTCCATTCGAGCCATCTTTGCATATTCCTAACGAGCTGCATCTCTACACACCACATCCTCCTTAGAAAGGCCCCTCTCGACTTCCTTCTCGTCCAACTCTGCCATAATAGACAAAATGTTCCCCTTTTGAGCCTCTAAATGACCGAAAACCTCTACATTCCACCTCTTCAAATCAGCCTTAATAAGTTTCAATTTATGAACCAATCTATAACTTGGCGTCCCTACCCCAATATAACTCCCCAACCATGCCCCCACTGTCTCTAAAAAACCCTCTGCTTGTAACCACATATTTTCAAAACGAAATGGCATTAGGTCACGCTGAATTTCTCCACTATCCAACAAAAGTGGCCAATGATCAAAAATCGACCAGTGCAACCTCAACTAAAACATATGAGAGAAGTGCTCCTCTCAATCCCCAGAAACTAGACATCTGTTAATCCAAGAACTTGCCTTTCTGCCAGTCAAAGTGTAGCCTCGCCCTTGTAAAGGCAGGTCCATTAGCTTCATCCCATCAATGAAGGAAGAGAAAGCCCTAATGGGCCCTGTCACCTTACTCCTCCTAGACTTCTCCTCCTGACTCCTCACAACATTACAATCCCCCTACACACCAAGGCGCCCCCCATCGAAATGCCACAACCTACAATTCCTTCAAAAAAACATGTCTCTTCGACCTTCGTACTGGCCCATACACCCCAGTGAAAACCCACTAATAATCATCCTCAATACACCGAAACAAACAAGACAAGGAAAAACCTCTACCTCTTCCCTCTCCTTCACCACCACCTTACTATCCCAACAAATAAAAACACCACTGCCACCCCTAAAATTGGTTGAAAAGCCCACTCCATATGCCGGCCCCCCATAATTCCCGAACAGTCTTCGCCCCAACCACCTCCATTTTGGTTTCTTGC